TAGAACAATGCTTGAAACTTAGAATAAAAGGGAATACCATTCTGGGTCGAATTCACTGTTCAATCTGGCCTATCGTGTGTTTCCCCTAGGCTTTCAAAATTCCTAGATTGAATTCCATACTTTGTGATTTATCATGAAAAACTCAAGACACTCCAACTTGGAGAAGTGGGGACCAATAATTTGCTTGTTAAAGTTAGTGCTGAACCAGAACACATTGCCTGTGTTTCAGACTTGAGCGGGACTCCCATAATTGTGGCCTTGACCTAGATCCTCCCACCATCCCACCTCCCCCAGTAAAATAATTTAGGGATTACTAAAATGGCAGCAGCAGCTTAATTTGCAAAAACCCACAAATATACTTTAAGCTCAACTTCTGAAAGACATTTGGATTGGGTTTTGTTTGAAAAAAAAATCATTTGATAGTTCTGATTTTTGTGGAATCTATTTTGCCTAGTAAAAATTTTGTGGTAGATGACTCTCGAGATCTTCCTTTGGTTTTTGGGGAAACTACATAAATATCTATTAAGTAACCAAATTTTGCTAACTATAATTAGCCCAGCCTTCCTTACCAGAAAGGCCCCCACAGAATGGCTGGAGAGGGTAAATGTATTGCTTACTTCTTCCCTGTTACTCCAAAAGAATACTCTCTGCTCTGAAAGGACATGAAAGTTTAAAAATCTCTAAAGGAGAGCCTTATATTCCCATCTCCCCATTAGCTTGGCATGGTGCTCTACAATGAAAGTACTTATTTTACACTTGGGCACCTCTCATATATAGGGAGATGAAAATATATTTGGTCTTTTAAGCAATTGCTTATGTTAAGAGATACTCAGATACTAGGGAGTGCAACTGAACAAGAATATAACTAAATCTTCTTCCTATGTTTGTTACATCTATTATTGGTGACAAATTTTCAAGTTGAACAATTTTTTAGACCAAGGCACACTGCAAAGCTTCTTATAATGACCTTTACCTAAAAGTGAAGTCAAATGGTACTAAGATACAAATGATCAGCTTGCACAATCCTCTTCTAGTCAGCACTCTATTGTCAATCCAAGAGAATTAGACAACAATTTGTAATGTTCTCTTCCAATTCCAGTAATTCCCATTGGTAATATAACTGAAATGCTTAACCCTCAGTTGGCAGACTTAACTCAAGAAATTTTCAGATTGGGCAGTTGGGATAAAATCATGACTAAATATTTGCCAATTCCACCCTCACCGACTGTCAGAATTACCTCCCCCAAATAATCGCTCAAATAAAAGACTACATGAGTGAAACCCACATTTAAAATTAGGAGCTAAACTCCCTATTCCACAAGCCACTTTGGCTGGGGAGCTATCCAACCTTAGGAGGTGTGATCCAGACTAAGGAGACTTGATATCTGCTTTTATTTTCCCAAGGAGAAGCAGATGCACTCTTCTGCCAGTTTAAACAAGAGCTGATGGGGGAAGACAAGGAAAACTGCTCAAAGCAGCAAGCCTTGGAACAATATAGGCATACCTTGGAGATATTGTGGGTTTGGTTTCAGACCACCACAATAAATCAAGTCACACATATTTTTTGGTTTCCCAGTGTTGGTACCAGGTTTAGTCTTCAAATTGGAAAAAGAACAAGAGGGTTATCTGTGAAGCACAATAAAACAAGGCATGCCTGTAGTCTTACCAATACTAAACCACAGCAGCTTATATCAACCACATCTTCATCTGTCCTGGATATGTCCTTTACAGTTTCTTGAATAAGTTATGAAAAATTAAAGCCTTATGCTTGGCAAATCATGTACAATCCATAAATATTGTGCAATTATTTCTACCATATCTTCTCTCTTTCAATGGTAAACTCCTCTTCTTTTAGGCGGAAGTTCAATTTTCACGAGATACTGGAGCCCCTAGTCTACCTTCTCTATTCCTATTTGGGATGCTACTTGAGGGGCAAGCAGGGGGAAGGGGTGATTATAATGAAATGTTTAAAAGCTGCTAGGTTAAACCAAGTTTTTTAAAAGTATATTTTATTGATTATGCTATTACACTTACCATTTTTTCTCCCTTTTATCCCCCTCTGCCCTGTATCCCCCTCCCTCCAGCATTACCCCACCCCTAAGTTCATGTACATGGGTTATACATTTAAGTTATTTGGCTTCTCCACTTCCTATACAATTCTTAACCTCCCCCTGTCCATTTTGGATCTACAAGTTATGCTTCTTATTCCCTGTACCTTCACCCCACTTCTCCCCGCCGACCCCCGCTGATAACCCTCCATGTGATCTCCATTTCTGTGATTCTATTCCTGTTCTTGTTTGCTTAGGTTTTCTTTTTTTACGTTGTTGTTGGTAAGTTGTGAGTTTGTTGTCATTTTAACTGTTCATAGTTTTGATCTTCTTTTTCTTAGATAAGCCCCTTTAACATTTCATATAAGGGCTTGGTGATGATGAACTCCTTTAACTTGACCTTATCTGGAAAGCACTTTATTTGCTCTTCCATTCTAAATGATAGCTTTGCTGGATAGAATTATCTTGGATGTAGGTCCTTGTTTTTCATGACTTTGAATACTTCTTCCCAGCCCCTTCTTGCCTGTTAGGTTTCTTTTGAGAAACAGCTCATAGTCTTATGGGAACTCCTTTGTAGGTAACTTTCTCTTCTTCTCTCACTGCTTTTAAGATTCTTTTTCCTTCTGATGTGTCTTGCAAGTGGTCCTCTTAGGGTCCAAATTGTTTGGGACTCTGTGCTTCCTGGACTTGTATGTCTATTTCCTTAGCCAAATTAGGTAAGTTCTTTCATTATTTTTTCAAATGTATTTTCCATCTCTTGCTCATCCCCTTCTCCTTCTGACACCCCTATGATTCAGATGCTGTTACGTTTAAAGTTGTCCCAGAGGTTCTTAAGCCTCTTGTCTTTTGTTTTTTGAATTCTTGTTTCTTCGTTTTGTTCTGATTGTTTATTTCTTCCTTTTATGCTAAATCGATTTGAATCCTGGCTCCCTTCTCTTCACTTGTTGGTTCCTTGTATATTTTTATTTCATTTTGTGTAACCTTCATTTCTTCTTTTCTTTCTTTTGCTGTACTCAATGGGTTCTCTGAGCACCCTTATCACCAGTGTTTTGAACTCTGCCTCTGATAGGTTGGCTATCTTCATTTTGTTTAGTTTCTTTTATGGGGTTTTGTTCTGTTTTTTCATTTAGGTCATACTTTGTTTCCTCAATTTGGCAGCTTCTCTGTGTTTCTGTGTATTAGGCAGAGCTGCTTTTACTCCACCTTAGTAGCATGGCCTATGTAGCAAAGGCACCGAGAAATTGTGTGGTGCAGAGCCAGAGATAATTGCCACGGCAAGGCAACCCACTTTACTGCTCTGGCTCCACTTGCAGGGGGCCGGCTGGAGAGGAGACAACTCCACTGCCTGGCTTCTGGAGGTCCACCTGGTGCTTGCCCCATTTCCAGTCACTTTACCCACTTTCTGGATGCAACCAGCACCCTCCCAGCTGCTGCCCTGGGGTTTGCATATGTTGTAAGTCCACGTGGGTCCTTTATGCCGTGAAAATCCAGCAGTTTCTTCCACTGCCTCAGCCCCCACTGGTTTTTACAGCCAGAATGGGGATTTATCTTCCTGGTGCTTGAACTCTGGGCTGTGCAGTCTGGCCTGGGACCACTTGCTCCCAGGGTATCCTTCAAAATTTTTATCCATGACATGTGAATGTTGGACCATCTATTCTGCCACTGCTGCCTCCATAGCTTGTACACACCATACCACCTCTCAGCCTCGTCTCTGCAATTCCACCCCTCCTACCCGTCTTGATGTTATGTGGTTTCTTTAAATCCTTGGTTGTCAGACTTCATCACAGCTTGATTTTCTGGTGATTCTCAGTGTTGTTTTTGAGATCTGGCTGTAATTCCTTTCTTTAAAAAATTTTATTTTCAGAGAAAGGGGAAGTGAGGGAGAAAGAAGGGAGGAAAAGAAACATCAATATGTGGTTACCTCTTGTGTGCTCCCAACTGGGGACCTGGCCTGCCCACTCAGGTTTGTGACCTGACTGGAGATCAAACCAAACCTTTGGTTCACAGGCTAGCACTCAACCCACTGAGCCACACCAGCCAGGGCTGGTTGCAATTCTTTCTATGGTTGTGCAAGGAGGTGAAGCATGTCTATCTATTCCTCCATGTTGAACAAAAGTCCAGTAACTCTTACTACTGTTCTATCACACCTCAACAAACTACCCTATCACAATGTAGTCCATGATCATGTACTAGTATCCAGAACACTTGGCCAATGGAACATGATCCTGAGATAGCTGGGTAGCAAAAAAGTAGTATCTACAGAGAGGCAATTGTCATATCACTGTATTTTATTACAATGTGTTTAGTGTACCAATTTAAAGGGAAACATGTAAACAAAATAAAAGTCTAGGGATAAATGGCACTTCACTTTAATCTTCAATTTATTCTTAACAATTTATTCCATTTTATTATTAGATTTTAAAGAACATCACTGCTGAATTTCAACTAAAAAAAAAAAAAAAAAAAAAAAAAAAAAAAAAAAAAAAGAACAGAAATGATGAGACCAAAAGAGTTAAGCAGAGGAAGTTATAATGATTAAAAAGTTGAATGAAAAATCTATCTTGGCTAAACTGAATACTGACAGGTAACTTTCTCCAAAAAAAAATATAACTTGAATCGTAAGGGTTCATTTTTTATATAATTCAATACCATGTCAATTAGGAACTTATGACTTGATGAAAGTTTTACTTAGTTACACTTGATTACCTAAAATCCTAGTGGGCATGCTCTTTGCCATGACTTACTCTCAGAGTTAACTATCTGTACTTCCTAAAATGAGAAATGAGTTTCTCTGTGACTGAAGTTTTAAGAAGTAGTTTGTAGAAAACACCAAAATAGTTTTTAATAGGCTTACCTTTTCTCCACTGTACAGCAGATTTTTCTACAACGAATGTGTAGATATTAAGAACTCAAAATGCGAAGACCAAAAACAGAGCTGTGTGTGCATGAATGTATGTACAAGCATATGTATAAGCATAAATCCCCCCAAATAGGATTAAACAGGTAAGAACACCTTAACATTCTAAATTCAAAAAGCAGAGATAAACAAACATCGCTTTGTGGTATTACTAGCTAAAATGTTATAGTTAGAATACTATACCTGCAGTTTGTAAGTGCTTTGATTGGATTCCCTTTAAAAAAAAAGTCATTCAAAATAATAACATTCATTTAACAGCAAAGATTTCTCCTACATTTTATTTTGACATATTAATATTTCCATAAACTTGTAAGTGGATGATAAGCTGTTCAATAAAAGCCATTTTATAGATATGACATATAGAAATTATTTAAAAAGTCTGTTCATATAATGGATTCTTTGGGTACCAACAAAAAAAATTAAGATACAAATAACTAACTAAAAATGAAACTATCATTAAACCAAGATACACAGGAACTGCATTTCATTTCTTTAAAAAAATTTTTTATTTATTTAATTTATTGAGAGAGGGAAGGAAGAAAGAGAGGGAGAGAAACATTGATAGGGAGAGAAACATCAATCGTTTGCCTCTCTTAAGTGCCCCGACCAGGGACTGAACCTGCAACCTAGGCATGTGCCCTGCTGGGAATTGAACCTGCGACCTTTTGCTTTGCAGGACTACACCCCACCAGTGAGGACATGCATTTCATTTCAGGGGGAAAAAAAATCTCATTCTTACTGTGTTAGAAGAATAAAGTACATTTGTCATAGTATATATTATCATATTCTCTTAAAGCAGGGATTAAAGTTTTTAAATTAAAAGTTGTTCAGGATTACTTCTTACTGTGTATTCAGACACTATCATATCACAGTTACACACAACGCTCTCATGATGGCAAAAAAAGAAAAACCTCTGATGTTTTCTAAGGTGTATTTAAATCAAACAATAAACTAGTAACAGCAACTTAATTAGCAAGCTGTAAATCAGCAACTTAATTAGCAACTGCCAGTATAGAAATGCTGCAGTTGAACTGCATTTCCTGTTTATAGCACTGCTGTTCTTAAATCTATTTTCTCCATGTATTATAAGAAAAAAACTGGCATTGATAGTCAAAATAAGATTTTCATTTTTGCAGCAAGAGTTCCTAAGGTCATGACAATCTTTTTATGATCCTTTATAAAGTTAAAGGATTATAGTGTATGTATATGTAGAAAGGAGTAGGAAACAAAGGCAAGTGGTTAGGAGAGGCATATAAAGGGAATGCTAAGGCTATATTAGAATTATATTTATTAAAAAAAACTGTTCTGAAGTCTGCCAATCAAGTGAACAGAAAAAGAGCAGATGTAAGTACAAGTTTAACCTGATAATTTATTTGTGAATAAAACTAATTTTGGTGAGAAAAAGTTCAATCCCTTCCTTGTAAACACAAAGAAATTCAAAAGTAATTTAAAGGTAGTAAGACAGAATATGCAACAGTAACTCTTATAATCCTTTTCAATTAAACAGGTAAACCAAGTTGAGCCATGTTAAAATACTTTTCAGACTGAGTATTTATCAGCCTATATACTCTGTTGTTCCAACTGGATTTTGATTAAGAGTTACCACATCTAGAAGTGAAGAAAATAAATTAGATCTCCTCCCCAAGATACTGTTTAACCTCTAACACATAAAAGTATATAACATCTTATACAAATTAACCAGTGTTCTTACAAAAGTGACTTGCAGTTTTGGACTGATGATATTATGCTGTATTTGTGGTGAAGTACTAGGCACAATTAATGTATCAATTAAGCATTTTCAGTCTAATCAGTCTCTAAAGTTATTTAATTCTTGGCAACATATAATAAGTGGTATGCATTTTGGTACTTAAATCATGAATTGTTGAGAACAAGAAGCAGTATCATATAGTAACAGGGTTTGTATCCCACAATTACAGTGTTGAACAAATCTCTTCTATGAACTCTGTGATTTGTTTTGCAGTTGGTCACCTGTAGGAGATCCTGTTAAGATAAAATAAAAAAAAAATCAGCATAATTTGTTTCTTGTGTATTGCCAACCTTGAAACTCCCTGAGCTAATGTTCCCTTCTATTGCTGTTGATGGTAAACAAATATAAAGATCTAAAAAACAATCAAGGTATATTTCATGTAGGCAAATTAATCTGATATGAAAGAATCTGGCATATCCCCTAAATATACTAAAGAGCAGAACTGGAGTGTCTATTAGGTGACAGGAAAAGTAGGTTTCAGATGGAACATTTCTATGAATAACTCACAGGTGGATAGCTGAGTTTATTACTATTCAAATATCCAAAGCTACAAAAAGCTTTGCATTAATGGTATGAAAATTATTAAATATTTCCTCAGAGTCTAAACATGCCACTTTTCTTTTTACAAAAACAGAAATAAAACAGAGGTCAGGGAAGAAAAGAACAATGCTAAAAAAAAAATAATGAGTTCCATAAAATTTGGAGATTTTAAAAGCTGGTAAGATTTTTTTTTTAAATAACAAAAAAGGGTAGAGGATAAATAGGGCACTTTCTTCCCTGTGCCTTATGTAGTCTTTTCTGTCCTTGTGGACTTTATGGAGCTAAGTAGAATATATTCTTATGTAAGGAGTACTTCACCTTCACTGAAGAAAAATCATGCACTGAGCTAACGCAAATTTTAATCATTATCTTTAAACAAAAAAACCTATATACTAAATGTGAAATCTAATATCTTACAAGCAGAGACAGACAAAAGGGCAGAGATCTTTTTTCAAAAGCTGTGGCTGAGGAAAAAGAAATCCCTTTAACTTCTGGCATAGGGTTGCTGGTGCAAATTTCCAATGGTGAATAAAGGAAGTATTCCCAGTGTTTGGCCAGTCATTGAGAATTTTTAAAATTTACTTATTGATTTTTAGAAAGAGAGGAAAGAAGGGGGGAGGGGAAGAGGGGGAGAGAGAAAGAGAGAGAGAAACATCGATTTGTTGTTCTACTTATTTACGCATTCATTAGTTGATTCTTGTATGGGCCCTGACCGCAGATGGCACCTACAACCTTGGCATACGGGAATGAAGCGCTAACCAACAGAGCTCCCTGGCCAGCGCCTCAGAGTCATTTAGAACTGAAATTGAAAGTATGAGTAGAATCTAATAAAAACTTATAATCAAAGAAACATTCATTTTTTGAATACATCAAAATAAATCACCAAGATACAGATAAATAGGAAACAAAGACCAATTAGGAGATAGGTCAACTAAAAATGGTAATAAATTTTAAAAGAAGAGACACATAACAATAATTATTCAAAATAAAGTATGTTCAAGTTAAACATAAGCTAAACAGACTATGGTAATAAAATGGAAATGAAGTGCTGTATAAAACAAACTGTATCAAAGGCTAAAGCCTAATATGAAATATCAAAAAATACTGTAATCATTTTTATTATGAGACAGTCATCAATTTCCATCACAGAATCATTCATATTTCATATAAGCTCATTGAGACAGTAATATAATAAGTATTTACTTTTCTAAGACTTAGCCATCTGAGGTACATAAAGTTACATCTCCACTGAAAAGCACCTTCATGGAATATCAAAATAACAATTTATTTAAAATAAATAAATAAAATCTACTTCCTATGACTGATCAAGTTGGCAGGCCGTTTGAGACTTAAAAAAAACAAAGATCAGCCATATAACCTGTCAATCCAACAATCGAAAGATCAACATTGTGAAGATATATTTCGTACCCAAAAGGGATGTTAAAACAAATTTTCCATATTAAAAATATGTTTCTTTAAAGAAGTTTAATTATGACAGATCAAACAGGATCTAAAACATTAAAAACAAATATAGCTTAAAATGAAGACAAACATCATTGCTTAAAATCACGTAAACCAAAACAAATAGCCATATAATATCACATATGGTCTTTTATCAACTCTCGTCACAGGTGTTTAAATTTTAGAAACTTTCGGCATAATAATTTATTTTGTCTGCAAGGAAAATAAACTATATTATTTAGGCACAAAGGATCACGAGAGTCTCAGGGATATTTCTGAAACATCTAACCTTGATTTGATTCTTCCATATTCATACTTTCTCCAGCTGCCGTCTCTGACATTTCTTCATCCTCCTCATCATCATGTAGGTCTTTTGAAATTAACTGCCTAGCTAATTTAATATTTAGTCCTTCGTTGTAGTGAAGCTTCCTCTTCATTTCAAATTGGCGCTTTTTTTCTATAAAATACAAAAAAAGAGGCTTAGAAAGTCTAGTTTAAGGGCTAGCCTGTGTTTGTTGGAAAGTATTATGGAACAGAGTCATGCTCATTTGTTTTTGTAATGCTTAAGGTTGTTTTTTTGCTCAAAGGCAGGGTTGAGTAGTTACCATAAGACACACAAAAACGGAAATATTTACTTTCTAGTCCTTAACAGAAAAAGTTTGTCAACCTTTGTTTTAGATGGTTCAAGTACATTTTAATTTGAATATAGGAATAAAGCCATTAGTAGTTTTTCCAGAAAGAGTTGAATGGGAAAAAAAAGCAAGCTATAATACTGTGTGTGTGTGTATGTGTGTGTACTGACAGACTGAGAAGAAATTGATGAATACTATGTACAAATATTATATATAAAGCCTGCATGTATGTGCATACACACACAAAGGAAATAAGACTCAATAATTTAAAGTGGTAAATTTGGGGTCAAGAATCTATGGAATAATTTTAACATTTTTCAAGTTTCCTATATTTGTAACTTAAAAAGTTATTTAGAAAATTCTTATAATTCATTAAGAAATTGCTATGATTTAAAACATTGCTAGCTAAAAACACCTCATTTCCAGAGTAGTTTTAAGAAAAACCTGTTATAATAGTGAAATAATTATAGCGTATTCTTTCTTTTATATTCTTCTCCATAGAAATATTAAACTAGTAGCAAATAAACATAGCTGATCATATTTAATAGACAGCATTTTAAAGATCAACTGCTTAGAAAAAAAAATTCTAAAATTTTAAAATTTCTTAGACCAGTAAATTAAAAAACAAAAAAGGAGGTTGATAAAAAATGCCAACTATGTATTTTGTCAAATAAAAGAGTACTGAAAGCCATTTGCCATAGTTTTATTATGGTATTCATAAAAATATTTTAATACCAAAAAGGCATAGAGAAATATGAGTAGAAATCTCTCAGAACATAGCTATGCAAAAATACTTTCTCAATGTCTTCTAATTGCAAGTTTTTATCATTGTGTATATACCTATGTTTTGAAACATAGGTATTTTACAGTTCAAGTCACAACGCATCAATCACTTTTCAGGAAAGTTCTGACACCAACATCCATTTCAGCATCCCATAAAGATCTTGCCAGGCATCTTTCTTCTTCTCTGCTTACATATTACTTTTGTGTTTGTGATACGCCTTCAGAGTACAGTATTATGAGGAAGAGTAAAATTTAAAAGAAAAAAAAAAGCATTAAAATGACCAAGTCCTCATGACTAAATTTTTAGTTATGCCTTTAAGTATTCAGATAATGTACAAGGCAATATATACAAAAAAACCCAAAAGGTTCTAATTGCCTCCAACACCAGATAAGTTTACTAAAAAGGTAACACTTCTTATTACAAAGTAACACAGTTTTATGGGAGAAACAAAAATATAAAACCACTCTTAATTCTCTCACTCAGATATTATCATTAATATTTTATAGCTCTACATTTTTCTAGAAATGTGTTTTTTATAAAAATAAATCATATATTATTATATATGCTGTTTTTATCCATTAGGATAACCATAAAATCCCAGTTTGTCCAGGGAAGTCTCAGCTTATGCCTCGTGTCTGGAGGAACTGTTAACAGTGATCTTTTCGTTCAATCTTAAAATGATGCAGAGTTTAAACAATAAAGTATATGCAGACAGTAAAATTCTGCCATGTACATAGCAGATTTATATAATTTTTAAATGGTTACAAAGTACTGAGTTAATTTAACCTCCTGTTCCTAGACAGTAAAATGATAAAGACAGTAAAATTCTGCCATGTACACAGCAAATTTATACAATTTTTAAATGGCTATAAAGATTAAATGGTTATAATTTTATTTCCTATTCTTGGTAAAAGATTTCTGATTTCTCCCTTTATATTTTCAATGTTTTTATGATGTAATACACATACGTTTTTGTGCATCTGTTGTACTATTTTCTTCATACTAAATAGTGTTTTTTCAAACTGTGCCTCGTGACTCTTTAGTAACAGCCAACACTTTAAAAAAATGAAATAAAACAGAACATATATCACATATAGTAAAGCTGAGTGCTCTTTTATGAAATTTTTATAATTTTATCTGTACATGTTTATTAGGTGGGACCTGGTTAAAATGATTTAAAAACATTAGAATAAACCCTGGGAACCTGAATTACTAGATCAAAGAAATGTTTTTTTTAAAAAAGTTTTTGGCTTATATATTGCCATACTGTACTCTAGAAAAGCCAAACCATGCCCACTAATAGTATATGAGTAAACTATTTCTCTACATTCACACCAAAAGAGATATGATCACTCTTCTTAATTTTTGTTGATCTGAAAGGAAAGTAACCATGACACTCTTACTATGTACTTTCTTATTCCGAGGAGTTGATATCACAGTATTTTTTGTGAATTATATTTATAGTCTTGAGAAAATTATTTCTTTTTAATTCTAAGAGATATTAAACTTGGTTTTACTTGTTATAGGTATATTTTAGTTTTAGAACACTCAACATTATGTAACTTAAAAAACACTGAATGTATTATTTCACAAAAAGCTGCTAATACAAGTGGTCTCAATCATCTATGAATATATTCATTTTATTTACAATGCTTGTATGGCAGAGTAACATAATGCAAAGAGTACAAGGTCATTCAGGCTTCAGGCCCAGCTGCAATAATAATCAACTATACTAGCCCTGGCTGGTGTGGCTCAGTGGATTGAGTGCCAGCCTGTGAGCCAAGAAGGTCATGGGTTCCATTCCCAGTTGGAACATGTGCCTGGGTTGTGGGCCGGGTCCCTGGTGAGGGGACGTGAGAGGCAACTGCACATTGATGTTTCTCTCCCTCTCTTTCTCACTCCCTTCTCCTCTTGGAAGTAAATGAATAACATCTTAAAAAAGAAATCAACTATACTAGACAAGTGAATTACCATTTTTATACTTTCTTCACTATTCTACAAAATAATGGAGAAAATACCAAATATTTTAAGTCCTTAAAAGTTAATATTTACTGAGCACTTGAAATATGCCAAGAACCAGTGCTAAGTGCTTTAAATTCTCTATCTAATTTAATACTTATTAAAGACTCTAAATATTCTCATAGCTTCCAATATACAAATTAGGAAATGGACTTCACAATAGCAGAGGAGTGAATGGAAGTCACAATGACCTCCTCCTCCCAGGACCAATCTGGAATCACAACTAAACTGTGGAGAAATCACCTGGAATAAACAACTGAATAATAGTGAGAGAGGAGCATTATAACCTCGGACAGACAGAAGAATCGGCTTTAGCACAACCCAACTGCAACTTACCCTGGGCTCTGGCAAAGGCACGAGCAGAGTGAGCTGGAGATGCCTGAGGAGAGACTGGGGAAGAAGGCTTTGGGGAGAGAACGGAGGGAATAGCTGGCAGGATCCCAGTGCTGACTCCTCCCCCATATGGCAGCAGCCATTTTGCTCAGGCAGACCACTCCCCCTGAGCAGCAGAAGCATGGGAGGACACAACAGTCCTGCCCCCCAGAGACTCTGCCCTAGCACAGTGGTGCGCAAGCATGACTGCTGAGTACAGAGTAGCAGCCACAGATAGTAGATCCCTGGCTGGATGAAGGGGGTGCAGAGTGGTCTAGAGATAGTTGAGGATAGACTAGAGAGGGAGGCTTGGGGGAGAGAACTGAGAGAGTAGCCAGCAGGATCCCAGTGTTATTTCCTCCCCCATATGACAGTAGACATTTTGCTCAGGGAGACCACTCCCCTAAAGTGGCAGCAGTGTGAAAGGACACAAAAACCTCACCCACAGGAGGGACTCTGTCCTGCTCTGTGGTGTCTCAGCCTAACTGCTGAGTGCAGAGTGACTAGATTAACAACTGGAGGAGACAGTCACAAACAGTAGATTCCTGGAAGTCTCAAAAAGACTGCCTAAGGTCAGACAGGGTCAACATCTGACATCATCAGAGGCAGATCCCGAAAGATGAAACAAGTCTCCTACCATAGAAGATTACACCACAAAGCCAGAAAGTAAAGACATCAATTTAAGAAGCAGAATCAAAAGAGAAGAATCTCACAAATAATGGGAAGACAAAGAAACACACCCCCCAACTGAAGGGAAAGAAAGAATCCTCAGAATGAGAATGAAATGAAATATGGTCAGGTAGACTATCAGATATTGAGTTCCAAACAATGATTCTAAGGAAGGTCAGTGAACACAAAGAGAATTACCAAAACTACAAGGAAACTACAAGGACCTTTCTGCAAACTATATCAACATGAGAAAGGACACAGAAACTAACAAGAGGAGGAAATAAACAATACAATTTCTGAATTAAAGAACAAACACAGTAGAAGGAATCGAAAGAAGGCTAGATGAAGCAGAGGATCGAATCAACAAGCTGGAGGACAAGGTACATAAAAGCTCCCAGAAAGAGCAAGAAAATGAAAAAAGACTAAAAAACAACGAAGACGCATTTAGGGAAATGCAGGACAACCTGAAACGTAATAATATCCGTATAATAGGGATATCACAAGGAGAAGAGGAGGAGCAAGGGATAGAGAACCTGTTTGAAAAAGTCATGATGGAAAACTTCCCTAATTGGAAGAGAGAAAAAGTCACAAAAGTCCAGGAAGCACAGAGGGTCCCATTCAAGGGGAACCCAATGAGGCTCACTCCGAGGCACATAATTAAAATGGCAAATACCAAAAACAAATAGATTCCTAAAGGCAGCAAAGGAGAAAGAAGTAGTAGTGTACAAGGGGGCCCTGATACAGCTAGCAGCTGACTTCTCAGCAGAAACACTGCAAGCCAGAAGGGAATGGCAAGAAATATTCCAAGTCATGAAAAGCAAAGGCCTGCAACTGAGACTGCTCAACCCAGCAAGGCTCTCAATTAAAACGGAAGACGAAATAAGGAGTTTCCCAGACAAAAGAAGGCTAAAAGAGTATACCTCCACTAAACCAGCAATGCAAGATATGCTAAAGGGACTGCTTTAAGATGAAGAAAAAGAG